AGGACTAAGTATAAACAACACGTGCAACGTCGAATTGTCACCCGCGGAGGAAAAAAGATCGAAGCTGGCTTTCCCACAAATAAGTCACGACACCATGGCTTTGGAGCCTATAAGAGACAAGCATCGTTCGTTGCGCTTATCAGTCCCTGATTCATTTGGAATGCGGTGGAGTGGTTTGCACTAACAGGGCTTCTGTACTTTTCATCAATGGCAGTAATTGACAATATTGACTGTCTTTTGATTAAGCACCCTATGTTTTATAAAGGTTGGCTTACCAGAGCATTAACCAAGGAGCACAGGTTGATGTACCACACCGTACTGCTCTGCGACGACCCCATCACAGGAGTTGTGTTATTTGCTAATAGTTGTGTGTGTGTGTGTTTTGGAAGATATGAAACCACAAGGGTACAGGTCAAGCAGGCATAAGTCCGTTGAGTGACTTACTCAGTGCATCGACATGTTCAAAAAGCAAGCTCGCGATAGAAAATGATCGGCTAGTATCCAAGGCGTCCATGGATGCCATTCATACAGGTTCGAAACAAAACTCCAACCAACAGATAGGTATCCTATTTATACCGCATTATAGGAGGCTAACTCGGATTTCACTCAACACTAGTCATATACACAACTTAGTTATGAACGTTTGAACGCACTGGCCCCAACAGTCCGAGTTACGATTACACCCTCAAATGAGCCAATAATACTCATCGTTATCACAAAGCAAATGAGCTGTTGCCTGTGTGTGCGCGTGCACCGTTTCCCTAATGAGTCGAAGTCGTGGTATGCTGCATTGCACAACATTATTCAAGCATGATGGACCACGAGCTGGTAGCTTGTGGCGCGAAGATATTGCCTAGGAACTCATTGTAGGTTCTAATAGCCCGAAAGTGTTCGTAATTGGTATACCTGGGGGACGGGGTTGCACCGAAGCTCATTTAAGCGCGGACGGACCAACTGGTGGCTGCCCTCAGGGGAAATAATTCACGTCACACCTAATGTGAAACCGTTACTATCGGTGACCCCTAGTGCACATTCAATCACAACCCGCTTAAGGGAGAATGTGACCAGGGTCAACATATCTTGTGTTTACAGGGGGCAGACATTGATGAGCGATAATCACATTGCTGTTTATGCAACACATCAATTATACACACAGTTACTTCGCCGCTATGCAGCAGCAGCTATGGTTGGTAGCGCAAACCGGCGTTAATAACCAAGATCAGCGTACACAAGCAGACTGCTCAGTTTCCATCGTTATTTTAGGGTGTCCGAAGCAACTAAAAGTTGGTGGCTCAGCAGGTGGGGCCATCAACGTAAAAGGTGATCACTTCCGGATCCCTGGAAAAGAGGTGGACAGTGAGAAAAGTCGAGTATCACATGATCTGCGGACGAGTCCTAGTGAATGTGTTGAGCTCATGAAAACTTTCAAATGTATTTTCTTACGTAGCTTTCTAGTATTCGGTGCACAGTTTCATTGCCTCACACTACCTCGAATTTCGTCTCGTTTTTGCGGCAATCTGCTGCACGCATCTTCGTGATGCCTGTTGGGCGCTGTGGCCTAATAGTTGCTGATCGGAATCAGTACGAAACTCGGATTATGTTGTACACTGTGACATACACAGTTAGCTTCGGATATATCAGAGACTGGAAAATGAAAAGTCAAATAAACTGTTTCTCACTTAACTGCGAATCCATCAGCAACCATTTTTGTTAGCTTTGCAACTACAAACGAAACAGCACCGGAAGTAGACGGGTTGGTTACACGTGAAACTCTAATCCCGAACCGTTATTCGAGTAACGCTCGCATGAAATACATTCAACGTAGTCGTATGCGTCTCTGAATACGTAATGCATATTAGAAGGAAACCAGACTATCACTAGTCCTCAAGTCAAACTGGAATGATCGGACCAAGTCCAGTCAGATAAGGGAACTTCGTGGTTTCGTTTGACAGAAGTCTAGATTGAGCACTGCACCAAGAATGATTTGAAAGCTGTTTACGAGTAAACAAAACTGAGATTTGAAACAGTCAGTTCCCTTCGGAGAGGAGGGAAATTTCCACACGCTTGCAAGCAATCTTACATCGTACGTTGACAATGTGGCGAAGTAGATTGACTGTTTCAACGGGAATTCGTGTTTTTAGAAATTTGAAACAGTTAGTTCTCGAGTAATTTGAAAAACGCAATAAGAAGACGAAGACTGGCAGATACATTCGGAGAGGAAGGATATTTCCACACGCTGAAACAGTCAAGCTACTTCGCCGCATTGTCAACCTGCAATGTAAGATTGCTTGCAAGCGTGTGGAAATATCCTTCCTCTCCGAATGTATCTGCCAACCTTCGTCTTCTTACTGCGCTTTTCAAATTACTCAAGAGAACTAACTGTTTCAAATTTCTAAAAAGACGAATTCCCGTTGAAACAGTCAATCTACTTCGCCACATTGTCAACGTGCGATGCAAGATTGCTTTCAAGCGTGTGGAAATTTCCCTCCTCTCCGAAGGAATCTGCCAGTCTTCGTCTTCTTACAGCGCTTTGCAAAACTGAGGTTGTCGTTTCGCAGCGTGGGGGCCCCTGTAAACAAACTCATTTCTGCGATAGGTATACCAGTAAGATCAAATGAGTCCGGAACATAGAATGAAACGAGATAAAAACGACTTCAGGAAAGAGTTCGTTGTAGCGAATAATTTTTACTCGTGCTACAACAAGTCAGTTTATGCTGCATATGTGCGCGTTCCCTTGCAAAATCATGAGATGACCATAGCTGCAGTGCCAGGGTTCGCGATTTGGATTGAGAATTGATCAGAATAGACCTGGTGTGAGACAACGAGTGCCATACGCTGTGGCTGATGTTGCATTCATGGTGCTTCTTCACCGCAGTTGGGCTAAACCAACTTAGGCATAAACTAGGTCTTTTTAATGTGGATAAAATTCATTCCACTTCATTTCGTTTGTTCTGCGTACTTGAAAATCTTCTCGTAACTTGCACACTTCGCTCATGTAAATTGTCGTAAACTTGTGTAACTTTATCACACGGTAATTTTTAAATAACTTTCACACATTTTGTACTTATTGCGGATTCAATTATAACGAATTGCTTCCATATGCTCATTTAACGAGTGTTTACGTCGTCATATGTGTTTACTGTATTCGATATCGGCATTTCGAATGATTGGCTGTTGTTTGACATCCCAGGTGTGGCTGCGCTTGATGTGCATGTTGACAAGGTGCCTACTTGTCTATTACCCACTACCTCGTCCATCTGACTCCAGGAGACAGTTGGTCGCTGCTGGAGGGGACGGGGTGCGCGGTCCTTGTGACCGTGCTAGGCTCAAAGAGTGGTTCGATGCACTCAGTGTGGAGCGGACTACGGTCCAGCCACCGCCTTGTGTGCGCTTGATTCCCCAAATACACTGTGCTTGTGTTTGCCTGTGAAGGAGTGTGGGCCGGCTCCATTGATGAAACGTGGCTCCCATCCACATGCCTCCCGGTCTTGTTGCATCGGGTTTACGCTGGATATGGGATGTGTGGTGGTGCAGCGCAAGCCATCCATGGTCCCTCTGTAGGCGCAGGCGTTTTGTGGCTGGCCACAGTGACAGGCAAATCCGAAACCGGATGCCCCCAACCATGTATGTATGTGTACCCCATGCTGAAGCTAATGTTGCATTCTTGATGCTTCTTTACCGCAGTTGGATTAAACCAACTTACATTTAAACTAAGTTTTTTTAAGCTGAACAAATTTCATTCCACTTGATTTGATTTCTGCCTACCTGAATAGTTTTCTATTAACTGGCCACGTTGCTTACAATAAGTGCGCTTATCTTCGGTAAATTTGTTGGGTTTGTAGCATTTTTAAGTAACTTGTGGACATCTTTTACTTATCGCGGATTCGTTGCTAACCAAATCAGTTCATATGCTAATTTAGCGAAGAGTTACGCCACCGAAGCTGCATGCATCATTGGATTTGTTTTATTTCATCTTGTTGTTTCAAGTGATTGGCTGTTGCTTGATATCCCCGGTGTGGCTGCGCTTGATGTGCATGTTGACAAGGTGCCTACCTGTCTATTACCCACTACCTCGTCCATACTGGCTCCAGGAGACAGTTGGTCGTTGCTGGAGGGGACGGGGTGCACGGTCCTTGTGGTCGTGCTAGGCTCGAAGAGTGGTTCGATGCACTCAGTGTGGAGCGGACTACGGTCCAGCCACCGCCTTGTGTGCGCTTGATTCCCCAAATACACTGTGCTTGTGTTTGCCTATGAAGGACCGTGGGCCGGCTCCGTTGATGAAACGTGGCTCCCATCCACATGCCTCCCGGTCTTATTCCTTCGGGTTTTACGCTGGATATGGGGTGTGTGGTTGGAACTGTGCAGCGCAAGCAACCCATGGTCCCTCTGTAGGCGCAGGCGTCCTGTGGCTGGTCACAGTGACAGGCAAATCCGAAACCGGATGCCGCCAACCATGAGACAACGAGGAAAATTGCTCGTAAGGACGGTTTCACCAAAAGTTCACTTAAGGCAGTGAAGAAGCATCATATATCCATAAAGTTAAGTACCAGGAGAATTTGTCGCAGCAAGCGTACCACAATTCGTTAGCCCCAAAGTTAGATTTCTTGCATGTAGATGAGATTTTGCAATCAGATGGAAATATCAAACAAGGAGGGAAGCGAAGGAGGTAACATCACAGCCAAGTACATCAGGAGAAGTTAAACAAGTGATACTTGCTGAAAAATGAAGCATGTGGTCTTTGGACATCGGTACAGACGTGATACAAAAGTACATCGACCCCAGTGCAAGTGGACAAGTTCGGTTCACGGTTTCCGAATAATTTGAGAAAATGTACAACGATGTAAGATTTCGTAATTTAGGCTCAGCATGAAATTGTCTCAGGTGAGCACTTTGAGAAAGGTCTCATGATAGACATGTAATACGTATTAACGAATTCAAGCAAAGCACGCAACCAAGCCGTCAGTGACGCAATGCATTAGGGAAACAAGGTAGCACAATGTTGCGAGGTGTTGCCATTCACCGGGTCAATTCACATTTTCTCGATAGATTGATGATTTCTGAAGAGCAGACTTGTGTGAAAATTGTCATCCCAAGGCGATCGCCCAGACAATGGAGCACCACAACAATCGCTGACAGCGAGTAGAATTACAGAGACGCAAAACCGCTGAGGATGCAGAACCAACACCGGTATCAGCACCAGGACCAAGTTCTGGTTTAGGTGAATTCACTTGGCAGATTGCTGTGCAGAGCAAACAAAAGTGATTTTGACCAAATGGACTACACACCAACTGAATGCGCGCATCGGAGCAGATAAACGACGAGTTATCCACTACCAACCTACAGGGACATCTCAGTATGTAACCTAATGAGCGATAAGCAGTAAGGGAAATCGAAAACGACTCGGATGCCAATGGTCACTGACAAGCGTTCGAAGTAGACAGCGCCGATTGGTGTATAACTGAGGTGGGCACTACGGGGAGAAAGAGAGAGAAACAGGAGCAGACGGACAGCAGTGCGGCGAAGGTGAACACATTGTGCTGAGAAAGTGACCTGAAACAACTCCACAATTTAAAATGGCTATTTTTTATACAAAACGGGTGCCTACATGGAACAATCTAGTGAGGAAAGATAGAGTATAGATAGATGAAAGACAATGTAATATCATACAAGGGAAGAGCCTATTAGATGAGGAAGAAGTGAGTAAAAGCAATCGGATACGCCGCAGCGTATGCGGAGGTGTTCATTAAAGCGCATGGAAGCGAATAACAAAGGGGGAAGGCTCAGGGCGAATTGGTCACATGGTTGCCCAGTCCGGTTGAATGAAAAGGTGTGTGGAGGATGTAGTGCGCTTAGAGCCAACCGTAAAAACGGAGAAACCACAAAAGGGATTCTTGTGTTTCTATCGCAGGTTTGGCCGCAGTGGCATGGATTGCACTGACATTCACTTTTATGTGTGTGTACAATAAAATGCGGGCCAGTTTGTCGATCGATAACCGCTCAACAGCCGTCAATGTGGAAGTGAGCGCGGAATGCCGGCGTGAAGGGAGTATGTTGACACCAAGACGGTCAGAAATGCGTTTCAGAGCACACTGATTGAGCTCAAATGGTAAGGCGACATCGCGACTTCTGTTAGTGAGACTGTCATCCTCAAGCACTGTATATGATGAGTCGGTCAGAGAAGACAGTCCATCATTTTGGTAGCCGCGAAAGCCACGAAATGATCCGTAATGACCAGAGCCTCGGGAAGCCTTCACATGTCGCACCGTATGGTAGCGTCCAATGTGCCCTGGAGGTCGAGACAACTTCAGTCCGTGAAGAAAAGCGCGTGCAGCAAGTTCATCATCTTCATTACCCCAGCCCCAATATCGGTTCGGGAATCCGTTGATCTGCCAAGGAGTAAAAAAAGGAACCGAATGAAGAAAACGTGACCGATGGTAGCTGAGTGTTGAAAAATTTACCATGCAGGGAAAATTAGTAAACACACGAGCCTGCTCAACAGACGACGTTCAATGCAAGCGCACACCATAAGTTCACGATTAATAGAAGTTTTGGGGAAAAACCGTGGATGCCGAAAAGACAGAGTGAACGTGAGGGAAAATGGAGGCAAAACATTCACTGACTTCATGTGGAATGAAAAACTGATGGACAAGTTAAGGATAGAATATAAAAATGTACGATTTGAGCAAGTAAGCTAAGGAGTTGTCAAAGACAATGACTGCTGTCAGACTGGTACAGTGATAAGCTATGACGGCGGAGGTGGGAGTCAAAATGCCTGAGGTACAGCGGTCCCCCACAAAAATACAGGGGGTCCACAGTGTCCACAAGGCTGGCTTGCCGAACAACCTCCTCGTGGTGCCAGCTGGGTGGTTCGGGATCATCCTGTTCCAGCGAATGGTTCGGCGGCACTGTTCCAGGACGTGGTGGGTTTTCGCCTGGCAAGCGTTCTCCCTATAAAAAGCCACATATGTCCGCTTAACAACACTGTGACGTGGCGGATGTGACTCGCCACTAAATAAAGTCACTGCCCCTTGTCTCTCTCTGAGTGGCATTGTAATTCAAGGGTGCGTTGGGCCCCTGGTCCTATGCAGTTCTAAAGGCGTATGAACCATTTGTTTGGTCACCGGCTCTCAACGGATTGCGATACCCTCATATCGCCCTGCTGCCTTGTAGGTTAGATCCTTGATCAAAGGCTCGGGGTGGGGCCCCCTAAGACAACCCTCTACTTCGGCCTCGGCAACCGGGTAGTATCTCGCCCACTGACGAACCATGGACTTACAACACAACCATTCACCCGCTGTCTTGCTGTTACCATGCTATTCACTCAGGCTACTATGCCAACTGCACAAGCACACGCCACCATTTTACCTACTCTTCCCGTGTACCATTCACACCCATTTTTACCTGATTCCTCTATAGCGATCAACCCCACCCACATCGATGAATCTGTTCCCGTGACATCTGCCAACTCAACCACACAGTACTCAACAGAGAGTTGCCGGCCCCAAAGTCGCCCATCTTCGCTCCTGCAACCCGGAACGCAGTTGAAACTTGCAGCTTTTAACGTACGCACATTACTGCAGATCGGTCAGCAAGCTGGAGTTGCACGCACGCTAGAGACCCTTGGAATTGATATCTGCTGCCTGACTGAAACACGACTCCAGGACTCTAGCTCGGTCTACCAGCTGGTGTCACCGCTCCACCCACGCACCCGGTTCCATCTCCGCCTCTCTGGTGACGCCGAGTCTGTCGCATCTGGGCAAGCTGGTGTTGGAATCGCCCTCAGTGCTAGATCCGAGACTGCTTTGATTGATTGGATTCCGATCAATAGCCGCCTTTGTGCGATGAGGCTCCATGGCTCTTGTAAAGTCAGCAGACGTCGAGTCGAAAAGCGTGCGCTCTTCGTGATCTCTGCCTACGCGCCCACTGACTGTAGCTCAGACATCGTCAAAGACCAGTTCTACCAGAACCTTCATGAGCTGCTCCTAAGGGCTCCTAAAACAGACATCATTGTTTTGGCAGGCGACTTCAACGCGCGTGTCGGTCGTCTGCTGCCATGTGAGCGCCACCTCGAAGGACCGCATGGATATGATGATGTTCGCTCAGACAATGGAGAGAGACTGCTCAGTCTTTGTGCTGATCATCAACTATTCCTCTCCAGCACCAGCTTTCGTCATCCTGGACGCCAGTACGCCACTTGGCGCCCCCCATCATCAACCCAGCGCTGGTCACAGATTGACCACATAGCTATAAGTCGCAGGTGGCGCGGCAGTGTACGCGACTGCCGATCATTTTGGTCAACATGCGTCGACACCGATCATGCACTGGTGTGTGCGACCGTTTGCATGCGTTTTGGTGGTTCGCCTAGGTCAAAACACACCCGACTGAACGCCTACAAGTTGGAGGACCCAATGGTAAAGAAAGAGTATCAACAAAAGCTTCGCGAAAAGCTCTCTCTCTCTCACACACACTCTGGATGTCGATCAACACTGGTCAAGTCTCCAGCAAGCCTTGTTGTCGGCCGGTTTGTCCAGCTGTGGCCTCACTCGCTCCACTCCCAAAAACTGGATCTCGGGAAAATCATCAGAATTGCTGGATCGTCGACGGGCGGTGCCTACTGGCGCAGAGTACAACAAACACCGCCGGTATATTACGCAACACCTGAAAGCAAGCCTTCGCTCTGATCGTGAATCCTGGTGGTCAAAACAAGCTGATGAGATGGAAGCTGCTGCATCAGCTGGCAACTTCCGCCGTCTGTTTTAAATCATCAGGGCCACTGGTTGCAATTTCCACGCTATCAGCCAGACGATTTGCGAGGCAGACGGCACGAAGATCACCAACCTTCACATATGATTGGGTTGCTGGGCAGAGCAATTCGCTCGTCAATTCAACCAACCAACACAGTCCCCTGCGACACCTCCGGCCCCAATGTATGATGCTTGGCCTGTCTCCACAGCCCCCCCCAAATGAAGTAGAGATTCGAAATGTAGTCCAATCTTTGAAACGCCACAAAGCTTCGGGTCCCGACACCCTACCACCAGCTCTATTCAAAGATGGTGGGAGTGTACTTGTCAGCGAAATCCTATCGCCGTTCACGAAAGTTTGGACTGAGGAGAAGGTTCCGAGCTCATGGGGAGAATCGGTCATTGTCCCGATTCACAAGAAGGGTTCCCGCGCCGATTGCTGCAACTACCGCGGAATCTCCCTAATCTCAGTCGCATCCAAAATCTTCGTGTCGGTCCTACTTAGCAGGCTTTCAACGACTAGAGAGGAGTTTTCCCGAGAAGAACAAGCCGGATTTCGTCCAGGCCGCCGCTGCATCGAGCAAATCTTCACGCTTCGGCAAGTTCTCGAACTTCGTCACATCCACCGGCGGCCAACAATCGTAGTGTTTTTGGATATCCGAGCGGCATTTGATTTAGTAGATAGATCTGCGTTGTGGCACTGTTTACTGAAGAAAGGTGTGCCCGACAAGTTTGTAACCATCCTGAAAGTACTTTACAGTCACACGTCGGGCAAAGTTAGGGCTTACGGCACGCACTCCTCTCCATTCGCTGTGACCAGCGGTGTTCGCCAAGGTTGCCCTATTTCACCTTTCCTCTTCAATTTCGCCATCGAAGATGTTCTCCAAAGAGCACTGGAAGGTGTCCAGGACTGCGGTGTTGAGCTTCTCCCTGCAGACAGACTCACGGAATTGGACTACGCCGATGATATCGCCTTGCTGGGGGACGACCCACAATCCGTCCAGAACGCTCTGGACAGCTTGGCGATGGAGGCGTCGAAGTACGGCCTGTGCTTCACTCCGGGAAAATGTAAAACGCTGCTCCAGGACTGGCAGATGCCTGAACCCGCGATCACCATTGCTGGACATGTTCTGGAGCAAGTCCCTTGCTTCACTTACCTAGGGAGTTGCATCACGGCTGGTGGCGGTGTTGGAGATGAAGTCTCACAACGGATTGCAAAGGCCCGCCTTGCATTCATCAAACTGAGACATCTATGGCGTCGTCGTGATGTCAGTCTCAAGCTCAAGGGCAGGGTGTACAATGTTTCAGTCCGTGCAGTACTCTTGTACGGCTGTGAGACTGCATATTCGCTCGGAAGATATGAAGCGGCTATCAGTCTTTGATAATCGCTGTCTACGTAGGATTGCTAGGGTGTGGTGGAAACACCACGTAACCAACGCAGAGGTCCGAGACCGCGTGCTTGGGGCGAATAGTGCCAGTCTTCAAGACGTTATTCTCCGACATCGCATGCGCTGGCTCGGGCATGTTCTGCGCATGCCAGCCCATCGCCTTCCACGTCGAGCGCTATTTGCACTCCCAGGAAGCAACTGGAAAAAGTGCCACGGTGGACAGCCGATGACGTGGAGAAGGAGTATGAAGAAGGGGACCTCAAGTTTGGCAGCAGTCGGACCAGTCCGCCTTCCAGGTTGGGGACCACGAGATGCTGAATTGCAGTGGTTGGAAACATTGGACGTCATGGCCCGCAACAGACATCAGTGGCGGCAATGTTGTTCCGCAATTTCACCATCCCTTTGATACACACAAAAACTCACAAAACAAAACAAAAAATATAAAATGGCGTGTGTAAAACCAAAAAAATTCGTTTCCCATATTTTTTTAATGGCATTAGTGTCCCCATCTTCTTCACCTTTTCCTTCTGCCGTGGTTCTGATGGCACAATGTCTGTTAACAGACTGTGAATAAATAAATAGGTGGTGCTAAGATCGAGCCAGTTGATGAGTTGGGACTAATAGAGAGGGCACCGTTAGTCGGCTTGTGATGTGGGTAAATGAAATACAGACTTAGTCATATAAGGGCGGGGTTTTTAAATCGGCAGTGTCGTTGTCACTGAACATAGATTTTTTACAATCTTGCTATGGATACATTAGTTTTCTCAGAGTACTTCAACACTGAGAGTTGTCAAGCTATTTCCAAGGTCACCGCTGCTGTCCTTCGCATAAACTTTTAGAAAAATACGAAATACTGCGCACTTGAAGATGGACGGTTCCGATTGATAATCGAGTTGTCAACGCTGGCTTTGAATTATTTTCTCCAGAACTGTTTAATTGTTGCTCTTTTACACTGATTAGTTATTCGAGTGAGACTTCTACGCAGTGTGCTTTTATCTATTCATACAAATTTGCTTCTGAGAATGCAATTTTAACTCATCCCTTGTCGATAGTGTAGTGGGCCGAAAACGTATCCATCTGGATACATAAAGCTTTATTCGACCTGACTTTGATGTTATTTTACGGATCATGTATGATACAGGAGAACATCGACTCGAATGCACCAGAGAAAACATGATCAGCTAGGATGAGCTGCTACAAACCATTTCTTATGCTATTTTTTAATGCTACCTTCTATGCGGTTTTAATCCTTCCAAA